ATATATATATATATATATATATATATATATATATATATATATGCATTTTTAGAAAAAAAACTAGATGAAATCTTAACCAGTATACATTTGAAGCCGATATAAAATTTAAGTAAACAAAAAAAAAAAACTGCAAAAATAAACATACCGTACACTTTTATTGCAGATCTTAAAATATTGTCTCTGTCAGTTTTGAGGATTTACAGCTGATACAGTTAAATATTACATTAATAATTTAAAAAAAAAAGTTTAATAAAAATATCACAATTGGCATCGATTAACTTGGATTCTGTACCTTACTTTTTAAAAACACTTTTTAATTGTCTAATGTAGAATTCTAACTTATACTGATGGATTGTTTTCAATCCATCAGTATTGACAAAGACAATACACATCACTGTGGTTAGGGCATAGGGCTTTGAATCCTAAGGTTGTGAGTTCGATCCCCCACTTCTATAGACTGCCACTCTGGGTCCCTGAGCAAGACCCTTAACCCCCACACTGCTCCCCGGGCGCTGCACAATGGCAGCTCACTGCTCCCCGATGGGATGGGTTAATTGCAGAGAAGGAGATTTCCCTCTGGGATTATTAGAGTATAGAAAATCAAAAAAAAACTAATTAACTAAATATATTTTTTTTTAAATTGTATTTGAATTAAGATGCACCTTTATGTTGTAACATGAAAATAAACCATTTTGGAATTTAAGTCTGTGGTTGAAAGTGCAAAAACCAGAAAGTATTCCATTTATTGACTCAAAAGAAACAAATGTAGCTATTGCCCTCTACTGGTTTTTATTTGTAACATAAAATGGTGATAGTTCCACAAAACCCAAGAGCAAGACAAAATCTTCTCTTTATGGTAAGAATTGTATTATTATGACCCGTTTGTTTGTCAACATTAACACAGAAAGAAATGTCAAAAATATATTCTTATAGAAATTTCACAAACTGCATGGCAGTATTAAATAAAATTTTTTTGTAGTCTTTTAGTCTTTGATGTAGATGACTTTAAACCCACTGAACACTGCTTTATTTAAGAAAAAATCTTGATAGAAAACAGATTAGAAATCTCATATTTTGTTAGAAAATATTTTTAATAATCATGTTGTGGAAAAAGATACATACATTAACCTGAAAACTTTATTTCATCTAAAATCATCAATCATCAATCAATCATTCATCTAAAATCTTCATATCAAAAAATGACACCAACGGAAAAAAAAAGCATGCCATATCATTCTAATGTGTTTATCCAGCATTCACAGTTGGATTCAGCAAAAACAGAATCTTTTTTTCAACACAAGCAGATCAGGTTATCGCTTTTCTGAAGAAACGCAGCGAAATCCCAGGTTGGAGGCTGAGCTGTCTGGAGTGTTCTGGCTCCGAGCAGCACATCGGTATCTGTAGCAATAAGACTGAAAGAAAAAGAGTAAGAAAGAAAACAGTAGACTGCTTTCAGTTAAATTATAACCCCTCAGTCTGTGTTAGGAATGAGTTAGAAATGGGCTGGCTGCTTTGTTATTTACAAAACTGCAGAGCATTAACTGCTTCGGTCTGCTTATTTTATTTCAGTTCAGTTTATTTATATAGCGCTAATTCACAACACGTCATCTCAAGGTGCTTTACAGTTCACCAGATAATACAGTCAAATTGATTCAAAATTTTCTATCTAAGGAAAACCAGTTGATTGTATTGACTCGAATGCAATCCCTCACAGTAAGCATGCTTGACACGACAGTGGAGAGGAAAAACTCCCATTTAACAGGAAGAAACCTCCAGCAGAACCAGGCTCAGTGTGAGCGGCCATCTGCTGAGGCCGACTGGGGTTCAAGTAGACAGAAGCAGAGATACAACAAGCAGCTGTAAAAGGAGGGCCCATCCAGGAATAAGGAAAACAAAGAGAAAACTGTGCTAAGGAGGTTTATCACGCAGCTAGCCATAGTCCAATGGCAACCAGCACTGTTGAAATTCACGCTACGTGAATGGACTACTGAGATGGCAAGATATGCATTTTGTTTATAGAGGTCAAATCGATCGATAGATATGTTTCATTAAAGTTTTATATTTATTAATATATTTAAAAAGCTATGCTCACTGATTCATTAAAGGATCATCTTTCAGTGGATTGCAAAACATGTTAAATCTGCTTAGTTTAATACCCTTCTGTGTTTTACCTATTAAGCCTTTTCCCAACCCATAGCAACTCAGTAAAACCCTCTATAAATCCAGTTTACTGATACTGTATGTGTCTGTGCACCAGTTCAAATAATTGAGAAATTGAAAGCAGTGTTTTAAATTTCATATATTAAGCAGTTATGAAAAATTTCTTTTAAATTTAAACAGATTTAAAAACGATCAATTTGCATCAAATTCAAGGTTGACCAATCAGGAGGAAATGCAACCTGCATAGCAGGACTGCAGTTTGAACCCTCCGCATGTCTTGATTCTAAAGGCCAAACAGTAACCATGTCAGCAGGGTTTAGCTACTGAAAACTGCTTTCCAAACCATGCACTTGTGCCTTGGTTCCAATGAATCTGGGATGATGTATAAAATGTAAATCGAAACTGAAAACGTTGAGCAAATCATGTTCAACCAAGATCACATTGAATTATTTTTTAAAAGCAACCCCCAAAAGGCTCAGTCCCTCACAAGGAAGGATAGGTCAAAGCACACCACTTGGTGAACAACCTCACAAGCAAATAGTCCAAACGTTAAAAAAACCTTCAATCTCTCAGAAAGCACTTTGGTTAAAAAACAAGATAGTTCCATAATGGATATTACCTTGTGGGGCAGTGAATAATGGAGAAAAATACTGTCAGTGAAAAGTCTACCACACAAAAAGAACATGACCAACACCCAGAAACACCAGCTTTTCTGGGCCTGAGCTTAACTAAAATGGAATGAGGCAAAATAAACTGTCAGAGCAGTCTGACAAGTCCACATTGCAAACTGTTTTCAGATCTGAACTCTAGAACAACTAAAGTTGGACTTAAAAGAAGTTTGAGGAAAAAAATACCATCTACAAAGTTTCAAAAATTAGTATCCTGCAGTTTTCAAATGCTTAGTGAGAGTTGTTAAAAAAGAAAAAAGAAGAAAGACAACGACAAACATGTCCTGTCCGTTTTTTTTTTGTTTTTTTTTATCATGTGTCAGGAAACAAATTAGAAATTACAGAATATTTGCATTAAAATAGAAAAAAATATCAGTTCAAACATGATATGTATTGTTGAATAAGACTTGCACATTTTTATAGTATATATATATATATATATATATATATATATATATATATATATATATATATATATATATATATATATTTTTTATATTATATATATATACATTTTATACAACATGCCAATTAAAATGGAACTGTGGTTGTGCTTAATCACAGTTAAATGATGATTTAATGTCATGAGAGTTTCGATAGCTTAACCACCCTATAAAATAATCTGAAAACCGCCTTTTGGTGTATACACAGTGTAAAATGAAGACATTTGTTTAAGAGCTGCAATAATTAGGCATTACAACAACTTTGGAAAGTAGGAAGGAAAACTCTGTTACCTTGTGGCACATGTATGACCCTCCCTTCTTCACCTTGTCTTGGCCTGAAGGAGGACCAGTCTGGAAGAAAAGAGAAGGTTGTACTCACCCTAGATTTAGTGTTGTGACGGTTTAATTGATAAAATATTGTTTGCTCTTACTGGATTGGTCTGATGGTCTGTTGTGTGGTGCACAGTCCACCAGTCTAAGGTCCACTCCCAAACATTACCCACCATGTCATACAGACCGAAACCATTGGCGGGAAAAGACTTAACCTGCAATATATGGATGGGAAGGTTTTGAAAATGTATGTTTTAAATATGTTTTAATCAGATCAAACATGATCTAACGGAAATCAGAAATTATTTCTTTTTTTCCCCCTTTCTAATAATTATTAAACAATAATTCAATAATAAACAAATTCCTTCTTGAAGGTACTTTCCCATGACAAGAGAATTAAGAATGTAAAATATCTTAACTTTTTTTAACATTGGTTTTATGCTGGTGAACCAGTTTCCTGTTGCTTCCTGCCTAAATGTCAGAATTGTAAGTTAAAAAATGCAGATTTAGGATATGTCTTACGTTAAAATTTCTTTGAACAAAAACAGCTGCTGTGAAGAATTATTAGTTTTGAAGTCAATCTAATGTTTAGATAAAAAGTACTCCAAGAAGTTGCCATATAGCACATCTGCTCTGTTCAAGCGCAAGCATATAGTAAACCACTCCATACTGCTAATTTGTCATCTTTTATAAAAAAAATATCACATGCACATGCAAGTATGATGCAAACTGCAAGTTCATCCTTAAGCTGCACCAGCTAGACGATGTCACGGCAAGAGTTTGTACATTCAAAGCACTTTTATGAAACATGTTCTTTAATTCTTAACTTCTTGATCTTATTATTGGAGAGGAAATCTAACATATTATGGTTAATTTCAGGCATAATCATCATCAGGCTTCATTACATAATTGACAAAAGTGTACATCTAATTCTCTCGGATTTATGGCTAAATATTCCCTTACTAGACAAATCTTCAACTGTTTTTTTAAGATGGAAGACTTGACTAATTACTAAATAAAATATCAAGATGGCAGCCACAGTATTCATCAAAATGTTGGGAGCAAGGACCAGCAACTATATTGGTGAGACTTAGATGACTGCAGATAAGAAGTTGAAATGATTAGAGTTGATAGATTGGCTCCCCATTTGCATTCTCTTATAGAGATCCTACACATTGTCTGTGAAGAAATGTGGTACTATAGATCACTTACAGATCAAACAGTCCTTAAATCTTTCTGAATCACATCTTAAAGCAGTTCTAAAGAACTTTGAGTTATTTTTTCGCTGAAGTAAGCCAGTGTTTCCCTTGAGGACCAGCATGATAAAAAACCTGATCTCCCGGTCGCCTGCAGGTGGATTGGACTATATTTCTGTTTCCAGTGTAAAAAATAAACAGCAATGATGTAATGAATCTAATTGTGGCCAAACAATGTCATAGGACGATGTTATAAATAAGAAATATTCAACTTTAGTTTTGTACCGTATTCCTACACTGCCTGAGGTGTTTAAGTAGACGTGTATCTAGAGGATATTCCACACATTTTCTTGTCCAAATGAGCCTGAGCAAATGATATCTCTGTTACGCCGACAACCACCAAATGTCCCCTTCCTTCTTGTCTGACTTACGGGAGATGTTTTAACATATCCGTCCTCTCCAGAGTTGTGTACAGGGAACTCCCCCTGCCAAAGGTTGGCGTAGTGTTGTCCTTTCGGGTTCAGCTTATTCCCCCAAGGGTAAAGCCTGTAAGATGAGAGAGTTTATTTCTAGATTAATTTCAGGTCAACTTTGATGAAGTGTTGCCATTCTTTTCATTATTTACTGCCCACCTGTCTTTCAAGCCGCCCCTGCAGGCGTACTCCCACTCAGCCTCAGTAGGAAGTCTCTTATTGGCCCAAGAACAGAAGGCGACAGCGTCAGCCCAGGAGACATGCACCACTGGGTGATCCAGCCTGTAAAAACAGGTTTACTTTCTAAGTATTTTATTATCTATTCTAACTTAGATCTCAATAAACAAAACATGAATACATTATTTTCTTTTTTATTGAATAGCCATTCTGTGTTATTTAAAACATATTGAAATGATTTCACCGGTCACGTGCGTTAATGTAAATAAATAATGGCTACCTGTCTGTGATGTTTGAGTCTTGGCCCTCAGGGTGCTTCCAGTTGGCCCCTTTGACCGGCAGCCACCAGGGGGCAGCAGCCACCTGAAAACAAAGAGGTAACACAATAACATTGATCACTGGTTCATTTTTATTTTATTTACACATGATTTTGCTTTATTTTCTGTCCACAAACTCCTACAAGGTTTTTCATGAGCCATCTTTGAAGATTACAAGTGGCTCTTCTTTTTTCCAGTGTTACTCCACTGATTTGATTGATTGATTGATTGATTGATTAATTGATTGATTGATAGACTTTATTGATCTCAAAGTGTTTAAATTTACTCGTTACACATATATATCACCTCAAAGTTCTCAGCCTTATGATGAGGCTGCATATGAACGATGAGATGAAGAAATAAATACTCTACTGGCTACTTTGGCTTTCTTCTTTGGGAGGCCTGTTGGTTGATAAGGTTTGACTTGGAGAATAATAAAAACAAATGTATAAAAAAAAAAGAAAGAAAGGTCAAAGAAAGGACATTCAGCTTGAAAAGTGTTTTAGTTTGTGTTTCACTCAAAGACAAATGCAGTTTGTTCTGCTTTCTGTTACAACAACTCCTTCACCAAGCACACAATCTTTTAAATTGTCCTTATGAATGAAGGGACACACATTTGACATTTTATTCGATCCTTGTCAGGTTGTATTACTCTATTCATTCACCTTCCTGTTTTTTAAATAATTTATTTGATTAATATTTTCTTCAAAAGCACATTTGGGATTGGTTTAAGCATTGAATAAAGCAACCTTACTTTAGTATAACTTTCAACTTTGTCCCCTATTTAAGATGTTACCCTTATATGAAAAGAGAAAACTGCCCATTTTACTGATGAGTCACTGCAATAAACTTACTTTATGGCAACAAGGGAAACAGCAATACTCTCCAAGCTCATTCTGAGGGATCCCTATGTGTCCCCAGACCAAAAAAAGGCAGTTATGGTGACTGGGGGTAAAAATGTTTTAATTACAAATAAATTTCAAATAGATTTTATATAAGCTGGTGTGTATGAGATAGCTTCAATGCAAAAAATACAATTAAAGACACAGGCCCGTCCCACATTTGACAACTTCTCTTGGTGTCCATGTGTCGACAGCAACAACAGCTTTGATAAAATGATCATTTCTCACTAGCATTATGGACTGAAGTTGCACACGACTGTCTCATCATTTTGTTGTCTTTATCATGGTGTTTCTACGGGGCTAAAACAGTGTTTTCTACTGACTCAGCATAAAACTAAAAGTGACCTTGCTAATTTCTGGAAACATACTCACTGCTTGTGTGATCTGGCTTTTGACAGCTTCGCCCAAAATCCCTTCAAAAACAAATGAGTCTCCAAATTTCTCTGCCTAAAAATAAGCAGGAAAGTCTAGTTTATTCCCACAGAAGATAAACATGAATTAAAGTGACATGAATATATATATATATATATATATATATATATATATATATATATATATATATATATATATATATATATATAACCTTGAAAAAGAGAATTACTTGACCACTGAAAGATGATTACCTACCTCAGTGACATAACCTGTGGCTCTGATGAAGCTTTGGAACTGCTGGTTGGTTACTTCCAGCACGTCCATGTAGAAAGAGTCAACATGCACCGGTCTCTGTGGGCCCTCACCATCCTGAGGGATACCTGGGCTGTCTGTTCCCATCAAAAACTCTCCTCCAGGTATGAAAACCATCTGAAAGAAGAGCTAAAAGTTCACCACATTCAAACTGAAGAGGAGATTTATCATCAGTGTCTAACAGACCAGAAGTAAGCTGCATATTTTCTAATATTGTCAATCCATAAAAGTTTAAAAAAAAAAAACAATCCACTGGACTTGGTTTCCAAGGTTTGAAGACGTTTCGCGAAACGTCTTCAAACCTTGGAAATCAAGTCTAGTGGATTGTTTTTTTTTTAACTTTTACAGAATGACTATGACCTGGATGACTGAGAATCTTCATCAGCTAATATTGTCAAATTAAACTTTAACATTAATCGCTGACTGTAAGAACAAGTCTGAAAGTAATAACAGTTTCTTAACACTAAATTAATAAATAATTTTTCTTCCACTGAAATAGTGAGTTGGCATATTGCTTTAAAAAGTTGTAAGTGTGTAAAATGCACAGTTCTATAAAGAAAAAAAGCACTCTACCACTGTGTTGACATACAAAACAAAAGAATAAATGTTTAAATATACATATGCACACGTAATAAGCTTTCTCGGGTTGTCTTCCACCAATATCCTTGATTAAGAAAATCCTCCCCACAGCATGATGCTTTTACCATTATCCTTTATGGTTGGAGATGGTTTAGTAGAGAATAAATAAGACCAGAATAATGGGTGGTGAAGTGCACAGTGTTCCAATAAATGTGCAAAACTTCACATATATATTAGAATTAAATTCTGACTATAAAATAAAGTCCTTATGCTTTCTGATCACTTGTGTTACCTAATACATCCGTTTTTGACTGAGATTGAATTGCAAATTACTTTTCAGATTTGACTGAGATGGAATTGCAAATTACTTTTCAGATTTTTATTCGTTCAACTGTGCATCAACAAAAAATCCAACATAAAATCCTTTGTAATATGTTTGACTTTTTTTAAGTTCTCGAAATAAAACTGCTTTTTAAAGGTAAAGAGAAAATGGATTTCACACCGGGTCATAACATTAGAGTCAGTAACAAACTAACCTCAGATATCCCCTCGTTAGCCGCTGCTGTATATTTCACAGCGGGTTCTCTGGATGCTCTCTGCTCCTCCTTCTCCTCTTCCGGGTCCTCAGCACCAGGTGCGGCTCTCCGCAGTTTATCGCAGCCGCAGCCCGCTGCTCCCTCCGGGGAGGCGGGCTCCTCATCTCCTCCGCATGAACTCTGGAGACTTACTGCTACAAGGACAAACAATACCGCTAAAAGCAAGAAAAAAACCCGCACCATTCTGGCAAATCCCTTCCTGTCAGGCTCTCCTCATGTTGTTATTGTTCTGACTTCCGCAAAGTCACGTGATGAGGTCAGCTGGTTTCACAGGACGAACAGTGTAACCCTTTCATGACCGAAGGCGTCTATAAATGGAGGACCAATCCTGCCATAATTAAAAATAAATACAGAAATAAATAAATGCTCCAAAAATAAATAAGCATACAATTAATTGCCCCCAAAAATACAATAAGCCAATAAATTTAGATAGAAATTAAATTATACAATAAGACATCTCTTTAAGTAGCTTCTTTGTTTTTTCACCTTTGTAATAATTAACTTATTTATATATTGTCTGTTATAATCTTCAACTTTTTTTATGTATTACTTATTCTTTAAGTATTTATTTTTGTGCATGTTATAATATTTTTGTCTGTTTTATTCTTCCTTTGTATTTTTTTACCCTATTTATTTCTTTAACACTATTTATTTCTGCCTGTCGTTTTTACATTTCTGTGTGCATTTCTGCCTCATTATGCAAATGAGGAGGGGCTGTGTCTTAGAGGGTCAAAAGTCTAAGGTAGGCTACTTAGGATGATTGTTTATATAATTGACTTCTACTACTTGTTTAGCTGAAATATCAATCTATTTTTATTGAAAGTTTTATTTTCTAATATTTTAATGGTTTTAAATTTTCCTTTTCTACTAGCTTACTGATGTAGATTTTGTATTTGATTTTATTGCTTATTTTATGTCTTTATTTCTTTTATTTGCATTGACCTGTACAGACTTTGGTCAATTCGTGTATAAATCTCTCTAAAATATAACTATTTTGACATATGTAGTCCACAGAATAACTAGTAACAACCCATTTCTAACTCAGTAATTCCCTTTTTGGGCTCAAGGAGTAAATTCTGGGATATTGAGATCCTCTAAAGAAATTAAATAGCAATAAAATAACTTTTGGTGAAGTATATTTATGATTTGGTATTTAAACAGATCCCCTTGAAATATTCAAAAGCAGATGCATTTGTTTTTGAGGCTGTTTGTGCAAACTACAATTATAAACAGGTAAATGTTTTTGTATGGTGTTGATTCTGGTATTATTCATACTGGTTAGAAGTTGTTACTTTTAGGAAATTGGGGGCTAATCAATTCATTTTCAATGTAAATTTCAAAAATTCAAAAAGAAAACTACAGGACAGCTCCATTCCTCTGACCATTAGTCAAAACAATACAACAAGGAGACGTTTGAACTAACAGTGAATAAATACCAAGGTGATATTATGCTAAATCAGTGACATCAAAAGGACATGAACATCAATCTGACACTTTTAGGGAAATGGGACTGATGGTCAAAATAAAGATCTGAATATCAAAACCACATAAAAACTAGTCAGATTAACTATTTCAGTTCAAGGTACACATTGAAGAAAACCCCTTTATTAGAAATCCATGAGAAAGCATATGGATTGTATCAAAACTGATAGAAATTTTAAGACTTCTGTAAAATAAAGAATAGAGAATGGTGGATGGAATTCCAGTTTTTCATGCTTGCTGAAAGAAAATCCTGTGCCCTGAAACATCACTGTTAGCCTATTTCTGTACACTTACAAACCAGCTAAAAGAGGCAGCTCTCTGAATTAAAAAGCCAAAGAGAAGATTGGTACTGGACATTTGATTAAGATTCAAAAAAATTGCCTTGAATGCATTTTTTTTTTATCTTTCACCAGGCAAGACACCCAACAGACCACATCTGTTAATTCCAAAAGCATATCAGCTCAGGTAGATTTAAATATAAAGCACGGAAGAGAGGGAAATCTTATTTACATCAGGGAAGTTCCTGTCTCAAACGGAAGAGTCTATTACTGAGTTTGATTCCATCTGCTGTGTTATCCGAAGGTCAGATTCGTACGCTGATTATGTCATTGCACGACACCGAGGATTGTTCGAATTGCAAGACTCCTCATTATGCGGCTGACAAATGCATCCTTTTTTTTGTCCGCATTGAAGCACAAGTCCGGTGTATCCTACGTAGCCATGGATTTCCCATGATTCATTGCGAGTCCAAGCAAGCAGGCTGCTCCGTGCTCAGAGGAAAAAGGTACTTGGCACCAAACAGTGGCGGATATTGTAAGGGCAGCTAATATAATCCAAGTATGTTAATAGTTCCGTCTGAAACTAAAGAAAAATGTTTTTTAAATGGTTATTGAGTCAGATATATGGTGGGTAATATTTGGTTTATTGAAAGGTTTTTATCTGTTACTGTGAAAATGGGTTTGGCTGTATTTTAAGGACAGATTCTAATATATCTGCAGTGCGGCGACTATAAATCTGATATGATTTTTATTTTTTAATTGCTATTTTGCACAATTTGCTTAACTAAGTGTATTTTGCTGTTGAACTGGCAGATTTATTTTTTATACATACATTGTTTAGATTTATTTATATATTTCTACTCCTTTTACATCATTACATTTGTTTTTATTTGTTCTTAAACCATTACATCTGCAATAAGACGTCTTAGTGCACAATTGCGTAACAGGAGTCAGTGACGGGGCCCCTAAGAGGTCGGGGGCCCCTAAGCAACTGCAGTCTCTGCTTACCGATATTTATGCCATTGCACTGCACCAGTCTGTTGTGGTGAAAAAGGAGCCGGATTCCATTCAAATCTAATTGCAAAAATCCCACAGATGATTGACAATTCACTGCTGCAGGTCCTCACTCTACAGTACTTGATGGCTGGTTTCAATACTGATAAAATGTAAATAACATATAATTTCATACTCTTTGTGCTCGAATGTTAAAACTATTTACAGCTTAGAAAATCCAATTGTAAAAAAAAAAAAAAAGTAGCGAATTTGTCAGGATTTGGTAGTGGATAGATGACCCAAAATGCAGAGGCATGGAGGCAGAGGTGATTTACTTTTGGGTTTAATAAAGGTTAACAGAAAACAGAGGCTGGAAATCCGTCAGAGAGACGGAGTAGGAGAAAGTTAGACAAGCACCCTGCAAAGAAGAACGGAGCAGAGAGAAAATTTGTAGGAGACTGAAACAAAGAGAGGGTTAACGAGCAGATTGGGAGCAGGTGTGAGGAGAGCAGAAACAAGAAAGGAGCTTAGGGAAAAAAGGAGAACTCAAGAGGGCAGCAAAGGCCAAGAAATAAAAACCCGAGAACTGAAAATAACCAGAAAAAAACAAAAGAATTAAACCACTAAGACTATAAAACATAAGGGGAAAAAACTGAACACTCAAAAGAAAAACATAACAGAGCAAAGACTGAAACAGTAACTAAGAATAAACTAGAGAACACAGCAAAATACAAATAAAACCACTAACACCAGAAAACAAGGAGTAAAGCAAAACTGATCACTAAAAAGAAAATATAACAGAACCAAGACTGAGACAGTAAATAAGAAAAAAAAACAAGGAACACAACAAAACCATAAAAACATATAAAGCAAAGAGCAAAGCAAACCTGAATATCAAAAGAAAAACATAACAGAAACAGAAACCTAACAATTTTATGTTTTATAATTTATGGACCACCCTTTTTAAATCAAACACGCTGTTTATAAAGACGCATCAGCGACTCAGATTTCTTTGGGGTAAAATGAAACCACATTTCCCAGCTATCAACACAGCAGGCGCCTAAACAGAAGAAGAGGAAGAAGTGGCAGCTCAGCTCAGCTCAGCTCAGCTCAGCCAGTGCCGCTGCCTGCTGCAGAGGACGCAGACGCCGATTATTGGAGCCGCTGACGGCTGGATCTGTCTCTGCTTCTGGGGAACAAGTCTGCCACAGTCATGCTGGCTGTTCCAGTTGGAGGAAAGCTGATCGCCTGAGCTTGAGGTAAAGTTGAGCGCACAACTCTCTGTTTATCCTCTCTTCCTTTCAGCGATCCGCTCTTAGCGGAGAAATAGATGTTTCCTCCTTAGATGGTGAGCTCCAGGCTGAGGACTGATTGTTTTTACAAACTCACTAGTTTACCCAGAAATAAGCACCACCTAGACATCATGAAGCATTGGAAGCAGCGTTTGCAAAAGTTTTACAGAGTTTTCAGGCTGAAACAAAGCATCGCTTCAGTTTGATGCGCATTTTCTCCGCCCTCCTTGCTCGCTGCAAACGGTTCCTTGAACTCTGTTGTTTTTACTGATTATTTACTGATCGTTTTTATTTTTTCTGAATTGGTCAGATTCCTGCAGGCAGCCTCGGTGGGGGTGAGCTGTTTGCAGGTGCAGAAACCTTTCCTGATAGGTGCCCCCCCAAAACTTTAACGCTGCAAAGCAACACCAACAGGTTACTGTAACGATGGAGAATTTTCATTTCCTGCCGCTTCTATGCAAATCCACCCAGCCATGCAGGGTTCTGTCAGTCTCTGGGAAATCCACTCCTTGCTCTCACTGACATGTTTTCAACCACAAAGTGTATTTTGGATAAAGACAGAGGCGTAGCCAGAAAATTTTAATAAAGGTGGCCGAAAGCGGATAGGCACCAGAACCTCAGGATCAATCTACACTGTTCCAAAAGGAACGAACACAACATCCGTATTTTGTAAATAAAAACTAACCATACTTTTCTACAGCCTTTCCTAACAAATAGACGCATATATTTAAACATCTGTGCTGACTAATCAACAGTGATTAGTCAGCACGGCGTTGAAAGTAACGAGTAATCTAACTAATTACTTTGACTGTAACTATAACGCAGTTACCATTGCAGACACCCCGTTACTGCACGTTACTCAAGGTCGCATAATTAACCTTTTTTAATGATAGGACTTGTGCACGCCTTGTCATGAGAGAGGGGATGATGAGACTGGCTGATGTATAGTGAGATTACATCTGTCAGTTGGTTAGGTGGGTGTTTCCGCTGGCGGGTGTTAACGTACAGCACACACACAGAGATGGAGAGTGAGGAGGACTCCAGCAGAAAAATAGGGTTTTCCAGATGAAATACCAGTGTTACATCGAGCTGCGTTTCCCCATCAGATACGGTTTACCCATGCTTGCTCCACAGAGGAACTACGGAGAGCGTGAACGATCAAATGTTAGCCTATATGGAGAAAGGGAGAAATCGGGATGGATGGATGGATGGATGGAGTATCTATAACAACCCAAACACACAGGATTTCAGAATTAGACATCCACAGTTATTAATTTCATACACTCACCAGATCTGAACGCCCTGTTAAAAAGCTTCACACCATGAGTAGAGGTAATGCAGCCTGATGATATTTACACCGCATCAGATACCGGACGGGTAGCGTTCCACCCTGATGTCATTTACGTTGAGTTACAATAAATGCAAAGCTTTCTGCAGGTTCTTGTCTTTGTCGTCCACTCTATTCAGCTGGCTTTGGAAACACACGGCGAGAAGGTGGGGGCCGGGTGGTGAGGGTTACGGGGGCGAGAAACGCAAAAGTAACGCAATGGTTACTTTTACTAGTAACTAGTTACTTTTATTGTGGAGTAACTCAGTTAGTAACTCAGTTACTTTTTGGGAGAAGTAACTAGTAACTACAACTAATTACTTTTTCAAAGTAACGTGCCCAACACTGCTAATCAATTTTTTAACAAAAATTGTTCTGCATAAAACATAAACTTATATGTACTAATATCTACATTAAATGGAATTTTAATTTATTGTTAAAGTAGTTATGTATCTATGATTTCACTAGATGACTTGCAGAGACTTAATTTTCTCTTTACCTCATATTATACAAAACTATAGTTCTGAAAAGAGCATGAATTCTGTATATATATCAACCTTAATATTAGTATTTTCATGTGCATAAACACAGCGTTTTAGTTGTCAAGTAGTTGTTAATATATATAAAATTCAAATGTTTAATAAGTTTGAACATTTCCCTTGAATGTATTACTGCTGCCACTGTGGGCGGAAAAAAAATGCTAGGGGTGGCCACTGAATGGCTGAGGGTGGCCCCCCATCTAGCTCCGCCCCTGGATAAAGATCAACACATAGGAGTGGATAACTCTTAAATGGAGAAAAAAAAACACTTTTTACATAATAAATCTAAATGTATGGGATGTATTTCCTTTCTCCTTATTTTTGGTCAGTTTGATCCAGTTTTGGTCTATCACAGAGTATACTTTTATATAACTTTTAGTATTGCAGCTCTGGTAGTTCGTAGACACGCAATTCTCAAAACTTTGGTGACCCAGGGTAAGTGTTCTCCCTGGATTCCCCTGTGTTTAACCCTATCCATCTTCTAGACAACCCTGATAAGCTTCCTGCTGCAGAAGAGCCTCCCCCTGTCACCAGCTGCAGTGTTACTTTTTACCCTCACAATAGTTTGTATTTAGATTTAAAACGACTTTGGTCCAGTCTGACTGGAACACCTTCTCTCATATTTGCTCTGTCCACTACATGTCTCATGGAAAACCACCTAAAGGGCCTGGAAACCTGAATGCTTAAGAAATGTTTGGACTGTTTTTACATCTCACTCAAACTCTTTCACAACTAAAGTTGCTCAATATTTATTCTTTTATTTTATATGTATCCTTGTATTCATTCACTTTACTTGGATTTATCACTTTACTTGGATTTTCACTTATTTGGATTTAGATTTTACATATGCATAAATATACGTACAGATATATATACAAAAGAGCTATATGTGTATATATTTGATCTCTTTTATTCCTATTTTTATCTTTATTATATTGTATAGTTGGATGTGTGTATATATTATATAAAACTGTAACTGGAGCGTGTCACAAAAGTAATTTCCCTCTGGGATTATTAAAGTATTTCTGATTCTGATTCTGATTCCAGGTGCTCTCTTACTGGTGTCAAACATGTCGGATAAAATGTCCAGCTTCTTGCACATTGGGGACATCTGCTCCCTGTACGCAGAAGGATCCACCAATGGTTTCATCAGTACCCTGGGGTATGTTTTCTTCTACTAGTTTCATATAATACATACTTTTTTTGGTTCTTTTTGCACTAGAGTTTAAATATTAAACTGTAAAGTGCCTTGAGATGACATATGTTGTGAATTTGGCGCTATATAAATAAACTGAATTGAAATTGAAACTGAATTGAAATATTAATGGTGTCGGACAAGACACAAGTTGTTTAGGCTGAAATAACTGTTACATGCCTTATCTGTAATGGTGTGAGGGAATAGAGAGGAATGAGCTGGGGATGCAGGTTTCTGCTTAGACTTAGACTAGACTTAGACTTAGACTTCCTTTATTGTCATTGCACAAAAGTTATGTGGCGTTAAGCAGTCTGATGGCCAGGGGGAAGAAACTGTTCAGAAGTCTTTTGAGGATGTGGCAGCATGATGGTAGGTTTTCTCCATTCTGCCAAGCAAAACTCCGGTCAATCCAGAACTCTCTTTGACATCTCATTACGTTGTTCAAACTGTTCAAAAATAATGAGGGTTCTTACCAGTGCATTTCTGCGTAACTGGCCATTACACTGTCAGTTGTCCAAATTACGCTGTGATCAGGCTCTCCTAAGTTGCATTAACATTTTTTTAAAACAAATTTAACTTCTCATCTGCACATATTTAAGAAACACCTGTCTGTTGAAAGATCTTGAGTCAGCATTGTATACGTGTGTTTTTTTTTTTTTTTTTGACAGCTACAGGCATTTAAGCTTGTTAAGGTTTTACAAATCTAGGCTGCTTTTTTTTTTTTTTTTTTTTTTGACAGCTACAGGCATTTAAGCTTGTTAAGGTTTTACAAATCTAGGCTGCTTTTAATAGTTTAAATAAAAAATTATTTTGGAAAAGTCAAATTCTTATAGATTATTATTAAAATAATTGATAGTATAACATTTATTTTAATGTTATTTATTCTGAAGCTGTACTGATGGATTGTGGAGTGCTCCACGGCAGTTGTTTGGGACCTCTTTATGCTCTTTATTTTCATGATTTGCCATTGGTGTTGAAACTATGGCTATATGCAGATGACACCACATAATTTGAATTTGCAAAAATAAAAAAGCTAGTTATTTATAATGAAAAAAGTAAATGTATGGTAGTTGGTCAAAACATTTCCTATAAATTAAACCTTTAAAAAAAAACTTATTTCAGAAAATACCAAATTTGAAAAAGTAGAATAAGTGAAGTTGTTACTTAGCAGTAATAGTGGAATCAAAACTATTGTAAACCAGTCAAAATGATAATTTAAATCAGAAAATGGGATGAGTATAGGCACTGTTAAGCCTTGTAGCAATTGTATTACTCAGTGGTTGACAAAGCAACTACTGCTTAAAAAAATAGTCTTAATCCCAAAGGGAACTTAATTGTTAATGTTGTTCTAGATGTTAACAGCAGTCTTGCACTGGATCTCTGGATGCCTTTGACTAAATACCCTGTTGTTGTTTAACACTCTTCCGAAGAGGATGCTCACTGTTGATCATAATGTTCTTCATTTTATTAAAAACTCTTCTTTGTGAAATAATCTCCAGATTATTATAGCACATGTGAGATCAGTGAAACAAGGTGTGTTATACTTTTACAGAACTAATTAAATACAATATTTTATTTACAAATGTTTTCAAAAGCAAAGGAAACTTTTTTTCTTTTCACACAAGTATAACTTCTTAACAAATATTAACTGTCAATGGTTTATTAGATTAGAAATCATTTGATTAGAGTAATTGAGTACATTAATTGAGAACAAACTGTTCTGTTTGTAATTATAAACACTTTATTAACTCCTAAATAGCCCCTATTTTGCCGTGCTGCATGGTGGAACAGAATCAGTTTCTATGCTGTGCTTTGAAGGCGAAGGTTTGTCCATAGAAAAGTGGGGGCTTTATGCAAAATGTTTATAATATGATAGGAAAAGAAATGCTAGCATTGTAGATGGGGATGGCTTTTGTATGGTAACACAATTGATGGGGCTTAGTTTTAACGTACTACTGGGAGCAACCAGAACCAGGTATTTCAAAGCACTGCTAACAGGACAAAGTCTCTCCCAGCACTGGATGTCAGAATACTTGGAAAAAACCCAGAAAGATACATCATAGTTACTGTCTAATTCATGTTATTTTAGCAGTTTACGAATATTGTTCGTAGCAGATCTATACATAGATGGATTACTGGAGATATTAAGCCAATTCTGAAGAAAATCAGCAAAGCAGATGGTTTTTTTTGCCACCAAGTTTGCCGTTCATACAGAGAGTATGTACAGCAGCCTTGCGTCTGTCACTGTGACCCAGAGCGGCTGTGGCTATAGTGTACTTTACTACCATCAGTGAGTAAATAATTCAATGTAAAGTGAAGTATTTTGGAGTCACCTGACATTAAAGAGTGCTATAAAATTGCAGGCTACTTACCACTTACCTTTTAATTGTGATGATATTAATAGTATTTGAATTAGCAATGGCATGGTAATTCTAACTGCAAGATCGCTCTGCCTATGAGGGAAGTAAGCCAGTGTGAGCAAAGCTCCAACAAAGTTAGTAAGGATGGTTTATACAGGAATATAGTGAAGCACAATGCTGAACCTAGGGTTCCCGTGTGTGTAATTAATAAAGCAATGCAAGCAAGTTAAATGTAAGCCATCAATGTAATTATGACAAAGCAATGGAATGATTGTTATCTACATAAATATGAACAACCATTAGCTCCTTGTTTATTAACATCAATATTGATTAACCAATGTCTTTGTTGTGTTCAGCTGCTCATTAAGTTAGTCTCTTCTAATCTTCTATCTTTTAAACTTTCCAATATCCCTTTTTGGCACTGAAATAAAACTGTTTGCCACCCTCTAGATACTTTGGGTAATGTATGTAATGTGTGTCTACATTTAGCCTTATATTCATTGTCTTTTTGAGCAATCTTCCCTTTTCCGCTTTGCCTACCTAATGCAAAATCCTGTAAATGTTGTCGGAGGGAGCTCCTGCTGGGGAGGGCTACCTCACTCTTCAAATTACAATCACTGATTGGTCAATTGCTGTCGAGCCAGATAAGCTCATTGGCTGACATTTGGGCTCCCTTTCCATGTGACCTTTAAACATGCTGTTGCGCATGCGTTAAGGTTATATTCCCACTTTCTACCACCCTTTGACCCCGTGTGATTGCAACGTGTGCCAAAGGTAATGGTTTCCGCAATCATATCAGCTTTGAAAGCGTGGGAATGGTAACAAATGCACGTGTCATATCGCAATATTCTTCCCTTCAAACTGTTGATTTTACTATAATGGTGAAGAGCAAAAGGACTTCCTAAAACTGCACCCCTCAGGCATCAACAAAGATTGAACATTAAGCAAACATTGAAATAATCATTGTTAGTAACATTTTCTTCCTTCTATAAAATCATGGCAAAAAATGCATATTACACAGAGTGTGTATATATATATATATATATATATATATATATATATATATATATATATATATATATATATATATATATATATATATATATATATATATGCAGCTATACATATATTTGTTCACATATGCAAAAAATGCTACCTGGAACAGTTGAAATATTAAAAGCAGTAAAATTCATGCTACATTGTAAAAGGATGCATAAGTATAGATCAAGGGGTAACCAATTAAAAATCAGCAGTGTCCGAATAAAGAAAACCAACAACCAGTAAAGCTTCGGAGACATTTTTAATTATAATCTGTTACTTTAAACAGAATTTAACACTGAAATAAAATGTTATACATTGACTTTTTAAATAAAAATATAATATATATAGAAAAAGAAAATAAAATGTTTCCATTATAAAATCTAAAGTGTTTTTCGAAGTAGAGAACAATTACATATTTTACAAAACACCTGAACTAACTGTTTGTTTTTGGGTTTTTTTTCTCTTTTTTTATGACTTGATGAGACAAGTGGGTTTTAGGCTGCCCTGAAGGGCTTTAAACCTGGGTTTGAATGGAGTCAAAGCCTTTCTCAAGCACATACTGTATCATGGTGCTCATTAGCGAACCTGGATAGATATTATTTGACTATATTTTTTATTATGGTCATGATAGAGAATCCTGCTTCACTGCAGTAGGTTGAGCCAAACATACTCAAAATGTGCAGGTCATCTTTGATTACACCATTTATTTAACTTTTCTGTCACCAGTTCACCGCAGTTCTTCCAACAGTCTGTGCTTTCTCTGCTTTCTTTTTGTCATCGTCTTCTCCTTCTTTCCCATCACCCGGTTTGCCTGCTTTCTCTAAAAGTTGCTAGCAGCAGTGACCCTGACTGACACAGCTCATTGGCTAATTGGTACCACGTGTAGCCTGGTCCCGGACACTCTGGAGGGCTTTACCATGTTAACAGGAGAAGCGGCAGAAGTGAAGTTAGACACTGCCGTCGGACAGCATGCGCTAATTTATAAATGTTTTAAATCAGGTTGGTCCCTGATGATATTTACTATTTTACACTCAAAAAGTCTAGCTGAGAACCCAAATAGGATATATCAGTTGTTCTGGTCAGGAAATGTAGTAAATTAAATGTAAATTATCTTTCACCGTATGCCCCAGTTGACTTGGTTTCTGCTCTACCCTTTTATTGTTGCCATCGACTGCTGTACAGTGTAATCCTCACAAGGTGAAGGTATTTTCAATTTGTAATTGAATCGGAGCTAAAAGCTTATAGTCCTGGACCTCCCTCTCCTCCCCTGCTGGCTCATGAAATATGGAACGACCCACTGCAAACACTGAGTCATTATAAAGACATTGTGGCCTTTCTTACATGCAGGCACTTCCCACGTATAGTTATGTGCACGCTCACACAACCAAGCAAACCAATCTGTAAAACTGTCATGAAAGTGCTGGCCATTAGCCACCCACACCACAAACAAATCCAACTTTGCTGTATTCTCCAGATCATCGGCCCTCGAGGAAGAAGCTGCACACAACAGAGAGTGCTCTCAGCATCATGTCTCCTTCTGAGCTGTTTCCAATGTCAAACTGCAGA